AGACCACAGAATTCAGCACAAAGTGGCAAACAGTTTGGCTAACCTGGGCAAGCTGACACTCCAGCCACTGAAGCCCGTCCGGGGCACCTTGTGCCATTTGCCAGTTTCCTGCACTTCTTCCAGGGCTTGCCCACTGCCAGATCCTAATAAGGCCAGAAGTCTTGACCTTGCCTCCACAAGTTGTTTGATCCAATTCCCGTGAAGGAAATGCATTGATGAAAGCCAAATTCAGTGGCTTCATCAGTGCCCATTTCCAATGGGACGGTGCATAAACCTGGTGAATCTTGGAGCGACTTCAAAGACCATTTTCCAACAGCAGCTGTTACTGCTTCGAGACACTTAGAGGTGCCTTGTTAGCATTGCAGACTTGGATTGTTTTGCTCCTACACAGATGACAGCCATGCTCTGTACAGGTTTCAGAGCCAAGGTGCTTAATAGTAAAAAAGGGAAGCATCCTTTATTTAAGCTAAGACTTAAAGTTTATGTAGTCAGCAATTTTAGCTGTGCATATTTATATTGTTAATTATTTTTTTTTTAGTATTTAAACACTCCTATGTATGTCGGTGTAATGAAAGCTACATCCAGTAGACTGGTAACTTCTCTATAAAGCAGTGATTCTTAGCTAGGGACGTTGGGAATATTAGCACTGTGAGGTGCGCAGACAATTCACAATATAAACCCAATGACTTCAAATAAGAATCCACAGTATTAAAAACATTCTGACCAACTGTGGTATTTCCAAGTTCTTTGCAACAGAAAAAACATGCTGTATTATTTCTTCCTAATAAAAAAAGTGAAACTAGGTGTTTTTTCAAGGGGTGCCTTAAGTCTAACAAGATGTGCCTTAAGTCTGGAAAGGCTGAAAACCACTGTTGTAAAGCATCTTTCCTTGTGCATCTTTCCCAGGAAACTTAATTAAAAAAAAAAAAAAAAAAAAAAAAAAATCACCATAACTAAAATGGTAGCTTTAATATTGGCATCTCACCCATGAATACCAGGGACCTTAACTCTCAACAAGAAAGAACCCAAGCAGCAGCAAGTAATACTTACCATTTGCAACCTTCGTGTCTACACTATTTTAAAAACAGAGGTAGTGTTCAGGGAGAAGGCAGGATAGGGGGCACCTTAGAGGCTAACTGGTTCACAGAGACGTATGTTTTCATAAAGGGACAGCCTACTTAGTCTACTTGGGATGCTAGGAATTGATTGCCAAATGAACCAATCTCCTATGGAAGTGTAAGAGACTAACTGGTTCAGAGGGTCAAAGGGCTAAAAACAGACTACCAGTTTTGATTTGCATCAGAGTGTCTAAGGCCTGGATTTGACCCAGCACAAGAATTAAGTACCTGTGAATTATTCAGATTAATACTCCACCTCACAACAATTGTGACTAATTGATTTAATTGCCATTTAAGCCTAATGCATAAACAGCTAGGCCACACCTTTAAGGCATATCCCAGGCCACATCAAACCAGTTGTCTGTTTTTAGCACAAGGTGCCACCTGTCCTGCCTTATTTCTAAACAACGAACCTGACACGTGCTGTCCTTAAAGAACATCAGCATTTCTCCTTTCTCGTGTCCTTGCTACAAAGTCTTTAGCAGAACTCAGATTTGTTGGGATGTGACAAGGCTGCACCATGAGCACTTCTGCTTGCGATTGCTGGACCACCAACCGTGCACTTTAGCGTCCTTCTTGCTTACTTGAAGGACAAGGGCAGGGGTGACCAGTTCTTTTCTGGTCTAAGAATTTCTTCAGCTGCTTTCCACTGAACTAGATAAAATGTGGAGTAGTTACATACTTAAATTTCATTTTGAAAGACTGGAAGGCTTTTTAACATGGTTCTGCTGCTGGAGAAAAAAACTCTCAGAACCAACTGTAATCACAGCATTTTTGACGGCCCCACACATGCACACACCCCCTTGTTCTCTTTTACACAAGAAATGACACTGTTACCACACAAAATTGAGAAACAAATAAGCAGCATAGTGGTAGTTGGACCACAGGCTCAGTGGGTATTTTTACACATGCTTTGGGAGGCACGGGGGGGAAGGGGGGGGGTGGCTTTAATTAGTAAGCGTTTTTTAATTAAAAAAAAAAGTGTCCGAGCATCACGTGTTAGCGTCCCCTGCACCGAAAAATGGCAGTGGGGCACTTTAAACTAAAGCTCATCAAACAGGCTTTAATTCAAGCCCCCTGCCACTATTTCTTGGTGCGGGGATGCTGATACACATGATGCCAGAGGCTGCTGGAGTGCACTTACTTCTGTGCTCCAGCAGATTTGATTAATCCATCTGCTCTGACACGCTGGATTTCCAGCATGTCGGAGCAGGTTCCCTGCACGTGTACAGGAACCGAGTGATCCTGTATTTGGATGGCTAATTTTATCTGTTGAAGTCCAGCTCGAGACATATCTCTCCAGCATTTAAAACCTAAACACTAATTGAAAAACTTTTCTATACTTGATTGTAAGACTTCAGAATAGATATTACTGTGCAATTAGTCATGCAAATGATAAATACTTCACCGCTATGAAAGCTAGCAAAATCAGAGCTCAAGCACCCTTCAAAAACAAGATTATAAGCACTATAAAACAATCCACTACCGAGTCTGTTTTGAAGCTGGGCTATAAATGCGCATATTCTGATACAAGCAGGTTATCACTTTACGCTGCTAGATCAAAAATTGGCACAATATGTGACACTGGGGGATTGTAAAAAATAGGCCTTGGAGTTTCTTTAGAAAATCTAAACTTTTATTATACATATTGTATTACACTGAAAATACGTACCCGGAGACTGAAGATCTTGAATTTACAACTGTACAAAAACAATTAATAGAAAACATACAGGCTATGCTATAGATGTAATATTTTACAAATGACATTTCTTGTTAAAGGCACCAGATTCCCAGTGGGCTCTGGCTTAACATTTTTTTCAGTTTTTTTTTTTTCCCAGTCCGATCTTGCTATGAAAATGCAATCCAACCTCAAGCTACACAATGTCAAAGTATCAAGTTTGTCGGCTAGGTCAGTCAGTGGTTTAACTCATTTGGACATGCTTCAGTGGGAGAAATTAGCAAATTTCTCATGGGGTATTTTTTAGTAGTAACTACTCAAAAGCTGATTTTCCCCAGTCATGTCTAGCATCTTATTTAATGGTAAAGCCACAAATAAAAATCAAGTTAACCCTTAGGGCACTAGCCTTATGCTACCATGCTAGTCACCCTAACAAAGCCAGTCTTGGATGACTGCATGGGGATTACCAGAGTCTATGATCATAGGGAAAAAATGTTTTTGGCTAAGGGGGCGGTGGGACTTTAACCACAACTCCTGACCAGGGAGCCCTACAAGGCCTCATCCACTCGATTCCATCCTCTCACCACTGCTGGTCCCACCTGCTTGCAAGGAAAAAGGCTAACCTGGAGCTCAAAGAGACTCGGTGCTCTGATGTGGGGGGGACCAGCAACTAGAAAGAAGCCTGTAAGGCAGCAAGTCTTTCTTCCTTATGGAAAGCAAGAGATGGAAGGTGGGGGCTGGGAAGTCACACCCTTCTGTACTTCACAATTCCGAGATAAAGCCAATTCTTCCGGTTACTCCCAGATTTATGAGCTTATTGGCTCCTCCATAGCAAAGCTGGGAAGGGCTTTCACAACTTTTTCCTCGGGTTTCCCTTTGCTCTCTGCAAGATGGAATTTGCTGGGATGCTCTTTCCCCCCATGCGCACACAGTCTGGGCTGTTTGCTACAATGCTGTTCTTGTGCAGAGTGAGAAGAAAAGGAGGCAACAGAGAAAAAAGGTTAGCTCTGAACCATCTGCGTGCCTTCTACACCGTGTTACCAGGCCACTGGAGCATCATTCTGGTGTTAACTATTTTCACTGAACTTTGCAATTCACCTTTGAATCTCACGTACAGAATCCAGCAAGCATCTTAAATGACTGAATACTTAAGACAAAAAATATCAAGCTCAAGGGGTCAAGTTTGTTTTGTATCCTACTACCACCTATTCAAGCCCTAAATAACATACTGGAATTCAAGTGTTTGCTTTGTGCTCTCCTGAACCACCTGGCACTATCCCTTTTACTTAACTGCTGGCTCAGTACTTTCAATTTATGAGCCATGGGTTTACCTATAGTTAGGTTTTTTTACCAGTGTAATTGTCCTAAAGCATTGAAATGGAAACTCTTTCCTCAGAAAGTTAATTTAAAATACATCAAGATACACAGAGCAAGTTGAAATATTTTGGTGCTCATGGCCAGACTCAGCCAAGAGGAGTCTGCTTTTGCCTTTTTTTATTTAAAAGCAAATTGCTGTAGGAGTGTTCTCGTCTTGATTCTAGCAATAGCAGTCCAGATAAAGTTAAACTGCAGTCAAAAAGAAATTTTCTATTGCAGACTAGTTTGTGACAAAGAGGCCTGGAGACTGAAGTGTGTCCATCCACACTGTGAAGGAGCAACCAGTGGACACTTTCCTCGTTCTTTATTTTATTCTCCGATTCCAAAAGCACTTCGAGAGGAGGGAAGGGAGCACCTCCGTGCTGACAGCTGAAACTGGGGGGAAAGCATCTGTCCATTAGCTATTGCCTGAGCCCTCCCACTCATTTCACATATCAGATAGGAGCTATCTGATGGCACACTACTAAATGCTGCCACACTGGACTGAATTTTGAACCAACAATTCAGGATGAGGACATCCCACAAGTTGTGCAGTCCCCTAAAAATCCTGTACCTTAAGTCCAAAACCTACTTATCAAAGCAGCAGCAGCAGACTGAAAGGTCCGACTGGCTTATTTTATAGAAAACTTATTACAAAAATGGTGCATTAAAATCTGACAGCAAATGCAAAAGGGAATATCAGTTCTTCCTTACAGCATTTTTAAAAGATGAACGCTTCTTTCGTATTCTGACGTTAGCCCTTTGTGTGTAATGGTATTAAGTCAAAGAACTTAGAGCTACCGTGCAACTGCATCCTATAGAGAACTCAGTCTAGTAACTAAAACCCACCATACTCATTGTAGCTTGCTTCTATTATCTGTTGACTGACTTGTAACAATTTGGGAAAAAAGCAGCAATCTACATCTCTGCTGAAGTGGGGCAATTAGGTAGGGCTGCACTGCACAGTTCTCGCGCAGATACAAGTACCGACTCCTTAATGGCAATGAGCTCCGTACCGTTCTCACCAGAACTCAGCTTCCCTGTCAGAACATAAAGCGAGATGTTCTGAAAAATCTGCTCAAACAAAATTAAGAGCGCAAAAATTTTGGTCACATATGTTGTAAATAAAAGCACACATATTAAACACTCTCCCCTTTGTTTGAGAATTTGAAAATAAAAACGTCCACTATAAAAAAAAGCCTGAAATGGCTAAAAGCCTTGTTAGCAGGCAGAGCTATCACTTTGGGGATGCTGTTTGCTTTCCTCTTAGGAAAAGGTTGCGTGGTTTTGTCTTAAGAATCAGATTAATGTTTTACTTTTATGTCAGCCTGGAGATAGCACAGGCCCCTCCTGCTCAGTCCCACACAGATGCTTCACGATTTACCTTTGTACTTCTCCCTCCTGAGCGTCATACTCTTAAGTGCAACCCCAAAAGTGCACTGATGAAACTGAACTTTTTGCAAGTCTCCAGTAAGGGCTAAACCCTGAAGTTCTTTCAATGCAAATAAAATTGAACTATTTGTGTAAACAGCAGAGCTATAACCTCTGTGGGTGGACATACTTGTATCAGTGTAATTACACTTGCACCGAAATGATGTATTCCTGTACACGAAGGCAATAGAGCTATAGCAGTAAAAGGTATCTTTATGAGAGTGTAACTGGCCACCCAAGGAGTGGCAGTTTATAACTGTATTGGTGGAAAACAAAAGCCACTTAACACAGTTATACTGGTATGAAAAGCATGTTTAGATAGGACTCGGGTCATCAAGTGCCCAGTGACTGCTTAGTCACACGTGCACTAAAAGAAATGAGAATCTTCTCAGCCTTCTACATTCACAGTTGCTTGCTTTGCTGCTGGAAGGATCAGTTTTTTAAAATCTGTAGTAACATTCAACTGGTCCCTACGGGCACTCTCCAGGACTGGGATGCTGTCTGAAGGGCCTGCTGTAGAAAAGCCATGTTAAACTTCTTCTCGAGCTTCACCTGGCAGCAGACACCAAACACCCCCAGACAGCCCACAAGTTGGGGTTTTTTTTGGCAATCTTAAATTTGACATGACAGGAAATGGTCATTTTTCCTTAACAGAAGGTGATATTCAATTTTTCTTGATCTCTGCTGATTTATGCCAAACATGGATTAACTCATGCTGGGCATTAACATTGACAATATAGCAAGGTTAACAAGAAAAATCTCTCTCAAACCCACTCTATGACCCTGGCAAAAAATAAGCCAAAACATATTAAGAGCCTCTGGACACTGAATATCTACCGTTGCAACAGTTAGACTTACTGCAACTGAGTTACAGGAATTACTGAAGACAACTGCAGTTTTAACTATCCATTTTTTACATGGAACCCAAGTAAATATTTCTGCAGTAAAATCTGTGCCCTTGTGTAAAGGTAAACTGCAAGTAAATTCTGCAGTAGTTCTTTCCCCAGGTGCCTGGAAGTAAACTGCTCCCAATCTGAAAAAACAAGCATTCAGCTGTGATCTCTTTCCAGCATCTTGAATCACAGAATAAAATGTTAACTTCCCCCACCTCTTTAAAACAACTAAGAAAACCCAAACAAAACAACAACAACAACAAAATCTGTCAGTCTGACACCATCTTCACGCTGCATTCACCTGAGCCCAGTTAGTTTGAAGAGCCACAACTTCTGTTCTGGAAGGTAAGAAGCCTACACACGAATGCCATTTTATACAGCTGACACTAGGTGAGCTGGCTGATCCTAAGCTCGATTTGGTCCGCAGTTTGGTGTTGCTGAATTCCTTAGGAGACATTAGTTATAGGTTTGTACTTCTTTAGTCTGGTCCACTGGCCAGTAGCATAGTTCATCTCAAAAACCGTATCGACTAACATGGTAGTGCTACCAGTGCCATCTGCCTTCGGTAACACTTCTGTGTGCTCGCTGAGTTTGATCTGAATGATGTCACCTTGCTCTTGGCAAGGATTCTCTGTGGAAACAAGAATTAAAAACATTCAAAAATCAAACTGAAAGTTAAACACATCTCAGTACTGTCTATGAAACAAATTAAAGGGTAAAGAAGAGCTCTGAATTTGCCACACCAGCAGAAACCAAATAACTACTACAGTATCACTAGCACCCTGAATCAAGCTGGGACCTACATGTTTACAAAACTCAGGGATTAAGTTTATGAAACAACAATGGAAACCAAGCCCAACAGATTGCACTCAGGGCTTAGCAAGATAGCTGGAGGAAGGTCTTGGAAGTGTACTAAAAGAAACCTCTCCCTGTCAGTTCAGCATTATAATTAATTAATTAATAAATAAATAAATAAATAAATAAATAAATACACAGAAAAGCCAGCCTCTGAATCAGTTTTATAAGACCATACACAAAGCTTACTATAAGTCTTAGCAGGCTTCAGCAGTTTGGGAATACGCTTCCTGCACATCCTCTCAAAGCTGAACAACAGTTTCCACCCACTGGGGTAGTATGGATAATGAGACTAAAGGCTATGACCACATACTACACTGTCTGTTTCCTGACCTTTCAAAGAACGCAGGTGATCACCAGAGAATATCTACTTAAAATGCATACTATTCTACATTACAAAAATGGTCTCGGAAGCCCAGTTTGGAGGTAGTGTAGGATTCTCTTGTTCCTTGAAGCTCAGGAAATATCTTGGGTAAAAAACACATCTTCTCATCTGTGCCAAGCAAGATATACAAGAGACTCCAGCAAATTTACAGTAGTTCATACCCATGTCACCTCAAGGCTTGACCGCTGTGACGCATTCTACTTGTAAGGGCTTAGATTCTACAGTGACAAGATCTGTTAAGTATTAAAATCAAAGCCAGAGATGTTGGAGTGAGTTCAGGGACCATTACACCCAAATAGTTGTGTAAAACTTTGATCTATAAACGCTTGATATAACCTGAGATCTGACATTGCAAGATGGCTCATCTCCTAGCGATTCACAGGATCCGAGACAAGAGTGCCTATGTTTAACATACTGAAGAACGGGGGCGAGCAGGCTCTGTACTGTGGGACTGCTCATACAGAACACCTGAATTCACTGGTTTCTGGACTGAATGCAAGACTTACAAGTATTTTTTTTACTTGGCAACAGCCTGGACCAGTTTGTCCATGTGGGTCTTCTCTTCCACATTTACTTTTTGGATATTTATTTATTCAAACGTGTGTGTCCTAAGGGGTATATTTTCTAACTGCCAAAAATAAAAAAAAGTTAGGGCAGCAAGGCAGTCCGATGAGACAGCTGTCCCATAAGGATTACTTCCGCTACCACTGTAGGGACAGTATTGACAAAGAACGCAGCAAGGCAACTCCAGCCCCTTACAAAAGGCTCTCTTCAGACTCCTCTGAATTGTTATACTTAAACCACACAATAAGGTGCTGCCCAGTTGTCACTAATGCAGCATTAGTCACACCTCTACACCTCAAAATAAAGCCATGTTAGTCTTAATACATGCCTCTGGATCCTGCCATGAATCCAAGTATGAGAGCCTTTTCTGGCCTTGTAACTTTATTTGCAGTCTTGAACATTTCCTGTGCAGCGTACATCTGCTCCCTCTGCAAAACATTAAAATAAAGTGTGTATTTCAGTAGAGAAAGCAGTATTAAGAAGTATATACAGTACTATTCTATTCAAAAGCCAAAGATGACAAAATCTTTGTTTATACCACACCAGGCACATGACAGCACATGTTAAGACTGCCATAGGATTCACAGTCCCACTAAGACCATTTCAAAGCTATTTAGTACAGAAATATTCTATTGTTTGTGCTTGGCCTTTCCCAGAAGATGAATTTTTAAGAGTCCAAACAGAAGTTCTTTCAAAAACACCCTCTTCCTGTTTTCCCTACTGTCAAAAGGAGGGGAGAGAAGGAAGGAGTTCACAACAAACTCATATACAAGAAGCAGTTAAAAGAAGGAGTCCCCACCATCAATGACTGCTGTATGGGCTTGAGAAGAGGCAGCAACAAGAAGGTGGTTTCAATAATTTTCAAATTGTACTAACACAGTCTCTGAAGCCTCTGCCAATACTTGAGCAGATACTAAATCAGTTCCACCTTTTCTGCAACAGCACAATATGAATCTTACAAACCCTTGGTACATTTGAGAACAGAAGTGAATGTAACAAACTAAAAAGACAGAAAAAACAGACTTGGCTCCTCCTCAAAAATCCAATTCTGGAAACAGAAGCTGTTTGCAGTTACAAGGGGAAAAATGCCTGGCACTTTAAACTCAGTGTGCTCCTGGGCCAACCCCAGCACATGCCCAGAAAAGGCACTGTGTTAGTTGCACCTGACTTCCCAAGTCTGCACAGGTCAGGCACTTCAGTGGGAATATTTTGGCAGTTTTGAATCAGCTTTGGATAAAAGCACAAACAAGCCCCGCTGAAGTACCCGATCTATACAGATGATGCAGAGCTGGGTCAAAGTAATGTGCTGCTGCTTCCGCTAAAGCATGCTCCCGCACCTGTCAGTGCCTAGAGATGCTTACGATAACAGTGCTTCACTTCATATGCTTAACTTCAGGCATATGCATGCGTGTAGACACGGACACATGCAGCTCTTTCACCAGGAGCAGAAGAGCTGCAGCCAGGAGATGGGAGGGTGCATGGAGTTTTACAACATCAGAAAATTCAAGGCTTGACTTTATAATATGTCACTACCTTTTTCGTCTTTGTCATTTTACATTATAACTCCTCTCTGAATTGGAAATGTACCATTCCCACTCCATTTCATTTGTAATCCTAGCAGCCACAGTGGGACCTTTTCATTGTTAGAAACAAAAGTAATTAATTTTTAAACAGTGTAAGGAAATAAGGTAACAAAAAAATCTCCCTTACTGTACCATTAAGGTTGAACAGTTAAAACCCAGAGATGCATGAGAGTGTTCAATAGCAATGGTAAGTAGACTGCAATGCATTTCTATTATCCCTAGGTAACATCTGAAGCCTCACCTATGCCCCAATGCCAAAAAAAACAAGTAATGGCTAGTGAACAAAACAAAAATTAGCATACCCTCAAGGCTAATGGTAAAGAGCTTTCAGGAGGTACAAGAAAAGCAATTATCAAGGAATACACTGGAACGTACCGTGAGTGAGAGACTTTTCTTGGGTGGTGGCTGCTGCTGAGTTTGGGGGGTCACTTGTGGTGTTTGTGCAGCAGGGGAAATAGCTGGAGGCGTTGTAGGTGTTAGGGGTGAGGTAGGTGTAGTTGCAGGTGGGTTAGAGTT